TGTGCTTTACAGCATCCATCATATTATGTGCTATATATTGAACTAAATCACATTTTTCCTCAGATATATTCTTCACATTTAGAATAGAAATGGATGTGTACTAATACAACCACATAATGTTAGCAATGAAGATATATATATGATACTTAACGTCTGAATTTCCTACTAAATAAAAAACCCCATGAAAGCAGAGACCATGTCTGTTTTTGCTTACCCCTTTACACCTTGCACCTATCACAGTATCTGGCACTATTAACAGCTTAACAAATATTTGCTGAATGGATTACTGACAGGTATGAAATGGACCTAGAGCAGCTATTCCTAATATCCATCTTAAACATATACAAAACCGGAACTTTTGATGCTCTTCTTGGCTCACCTTGCCAACCTTCCTCCAATCTGTGCTCCTCCCCATCTTCCAGACTTCAGTAAATGGCATCACTTTTTACTAAACTGCTCAAGGTAAAAATCTACAAGTAATCTTTAATTTCTCCTTCCCTCACTTCCCACATCTGATCCATCAGTGGTATCCTGAATCTCTCCTCTTTTATCTCCACCACCACTTCACTGTAAATCACCACTATCTCCTGCTTCGCCTACTGCAGAGGGCTTCTTCCAGTCAAACTGCTGTTACTCCTACTCCACTACAATCACTTTTTTTCATTCAGCAGCCAGAGTGATCTAAAATATAAATCAAAGCTTACATCTCTTACATAATAGTCTATTGGTTTCTTTCTGCACAAGGAATAAAATTCATAATCCTCATGTGGCTTTTTGCAAGGCCCAGTACTGTTGGCCCTAGCCCACTCTCCTGCTCACTATGTTGCAACCATACTGGTTCCTTCTTGTCTTTGGGCCTCTGCACTTTCTGGTCCCTATCCCTGTCTTAGACCTGCAGTCTTCAGATTTTGTTTCTGAACTTTATCTTCCCAAAGAGGCCTCTCTTGTCATCACTATGTAAAGAACCCCCCCCACCCACAATTCTGTTATCAGCTGGTTTCCTTCACAGCATACTTATCACTATCAAAAATCATTTTATTTATCTGTTTATTGTCTATCTTTCCTCTGGTAGAATGTAAGCTCCTTGAGAGAAGCAATCCTGTACTTAGAACAGTGCCTAACATCTAGCAAGCACTCAATACTTTTTTTTGAATAAACAAACCTCTGTGGGATGTTTTGCTCTTTTATTTATTTTTTATTTTTTTTTTAAAGATTTTATTTATTTATTTGAGAGAGAGAATGAGAGAGAGAGAGCATGAGAGGGGGGAGGGTCAGAGGGAGAAGCAGACTCCCCGCTGAGCAGGGAGCCCGATGCGGGACTCGATCCTGGGACTCCAGGATCATGACCTGAGCCGAAGGCAGTTGCTTAACCAACTGAGCCACCCAGGTGCCCTGTTTTGCTCTTTTAAAAACCACATTTAAAGTGTATAAAAACCACCTCCTTGACATCGTCCCATTTTCTTCTAGAAGAGGCACACAGTGAAAAGTATGGTTATTGAGATTGCTTAAATCTATGGATATGAGACAGGAACTCTGAGCAGCATACCAGAATAAACTGTCATATCTGGTCTATCACCAATCCTAGCTCTTTCCACAATGTGGGCCAAGATATGTCTTTGGGAAGAGAATCTGCTTTTTATTACTTTCCTCCAGATAGATGTTTGCTTTTTCTAACTTAAAATTCATTACATTCTTTTTCAGGATTCTAGGCTGACTATTACATAATTCCTTAAATGTCAACTTATTGAAATTTAGCCCTTAATGTCTCATCTTTCCTTTTTTGTAACATTACAAAACATCTTAAATAGAAACAGAGCTACTATCAGATGCCATGACACACAGATCCTGAGACCACAGCATAGGGTCCCATCCCATCCTTCAAAGAGAACATCAGAAATGGCGGCGGGGGTGGGGGGGAGGTGGTGCTAGGACTGGAAAGTACACTGGGATACGAAGAGTGGCATTACACCAATGTAGAAGGTGTGCCCAAACTTCACAAGAGATAATAATCACGGAGCTAGTAATAATCACCTCCACCCCCAGTAATAGCAATAAAAATCTCTAAGAACAGATAAGACTTCTAAGTAAAGCCTTATACCAGAGGATATATAGGAATACCCAGACTTGGAGAGAAAAAAGACTGTCTGATCAGCAATAAAAGCCAGACCTTCACTGAAATACAATTTAATATTCTGTTCTCAATTTTTATTTAGGATTGAAGAACTTTTCCCACACTTTCTACAGAATCACAATGGAAGCTTTTGTCCATTGTATTACTCAATGTCCTTTATGTAAGGACCAGGTAATAAATGCTTCCTAGAACTTAGAACACAGGACAAATCTCATTTTTAGATCAAACTTGGAATTTTTCTTTTTATCAAACAATGCAAATGATATGTTGTTATGGATTTTTAGAGCTGGAAGGGCCTTTAGAAATTACGTAGCCCAGCATTTTCTAATGTCCTTTAGGTATCATGAACAAAAAGAGTTCATAAGCAAACAAGCTTTTCTTTCTTTCTATAATAATTTTATTGAAATATAAATCATGTTAAATTAATAAAGCAAGGAAGCCATTAGACTGAGGTGGTTATTTAATGCCTTGATAGCCTACTTAAGCAAACCAAAACCTAAGCCTATAATGCCTCAAGGTTAAGAAATCAAAACCTAAGGGGCGCCTGGGTGGCTCAGTTGGTTAAGCGACTGC